GACGGGGCGTGGTTATTTTGGGTTAGACGGGCGTGTTTATGTTGGGTTAGACGGGACGCTATGTTGGTTAGACGGGACGTGGTTATGTTGGGTTAGACGGGGCGTGGTTATGTTGGGTTAGACGGGACGTGGTTATGTTGGGTTAGACGGGACGTGGCTATGTTGGGATAGACGGGACGTGGCTATGTTGGGTTAGACGGGGCGTGGTTATGTTGGGTTAGACGGGGCGTGGTTATGTTGTTAGACGGGACGTGGCTATGTTTGGGTTAGACGGGGGCGTGGCTAGACGGGACGTGGCTATGTTGGTTAGACGGGGCGTGGCTATGTTGGGTTAGACGGGGCGTTTATGTTGGGTTAGACGGGGCGTGGCTATGTTGGGTTAGACGGGGCGTGGTTATGTTGGGTTAGACGGGGTTTGGTTATGTTGGGCTATAATGTGCGTGGTTGTGCTGGGGACAGATTGGACATGGATGTGCTGGAACACTTAGGGCGTGGTTGTGCGCGAGCCACCATCACCCCCTTTTCCCTCCCCTGACCCTGAAGTAACTACAAAACTGAGGCAGTATACATGCCCTGACCCACTAACCACGTCACTTGGGTAGTACCAGTTATACCGCCCCTAGCCCCCCCTTCATCACCGCCCCTTAGAACACCACCACAGCCCCCTAGCACCACCGCCACAGCCCCTAGCACCACCGCCACAGCCCCTAGCACCACTGCCACAGCCCCTAGCACCACCACCACAGCCCCTAACACCACCACCACAGCCCCCCTAGCACCACCACCACAGCCCCGTAGCACCACCACCACAGCCCCCTAGCACCACCACCACAGCCCCTAGCACCACCACAGCCCCGGTGGTGTGGGGCTGTGGGCCGGATCTGGAGAGGAATGTCCCAGCTTACATGTACCAAAGTTGCAGAATTGCTTCAGCGACGCGGTGTCCATGTAGTGTTCTAGCGTCGTTTCATGCATGTTAACTATGCCTTAAGGTTTAAGGTCAAGGACTGGCCGAATAGTTGTCAGGTGTGTGGGTGTTTATTTTTTTTGCGCGCGCACGTTCCAAGATATGATCACTTAGATGAGTTGGCAGAGGTTGAGCGCTTGATCTTAATTTAGGCTTTCGAGGCTTTCCACCATCATTTGTTTAATACAAAGTCTATCTTCATTCGCTTTCCCTATATTATTTACATTTAAAACAACTGTATCAAATCCATTACATTTATTTATCAATTTTACACTGAAGAATTACACACAGAGATCACACTAACGTGATGCATCAAATGAACAAATCCACAAGAGCCGTGACGAGGATTCGAACCTGCGTCCGGGAGCATCTTTTAACCCTGTCGTAGCTCAGTCGATTAAGGCAGTGTCTGGGATGCTCCCGGACGCAGGTTCGAATCCTCGTCACGGCCCTTGTGGATTTGTTTACATTGAAGAATGTTCATTCTTACGTCTCTTAATTCATTTGTGTTTGTAGTTTGTCCCCTCCCCCTTCCCCCCCCCCTCCCCCCCCCCTCCCCCCCCCCCTCCCCCTCCCCCTCCCCCTCCCCCTCCCCCCCTCCCCCTCCCCCTCCCCCTCCCCCTCCCCCTCCCCCTCCCCCCCCCTCCCCCTCCCCCTCCCCCCCCCCTCCCCCTCCCCCCTCCCCCCTCCAGCACCACTGTTCAATCCGTTGTTTCTCACTTTGAAATTTTTGTCGATCTTGTATGTCGTTATAATTTCTCTCTCACTCCTTCTTTCCTCCAAGTGGCCTGGTCAGAAACTGGACCGCGGGGACGTTGATCCCCGGACCCAACGCAGGATTGGCACAGGGCGGTAAATATTAGACGAATAGCGTTATTAAGTCGCCGATAATATGGCTGTTAACGCGCCTGAGGCATTATTAATGAACAGTGTACTGTGGTTGCGGACCCCGCAGGCTGTTAGGACACACTATTCTAATTATTGTATTAACTACTAGTTGATACAGTACCTCGTGCACGGGTATTGTATTAGCTACTAGTTGATACAGTACCTCGTACACGGGTATTGTATTAGCTACTAGTTGATACAGTACCTCGTACACGGGTATTGTATTAGCTACTAGTTGATACAGTACCTCGTACACGGGTATTGTATTAACTACTAGTTGATACAGTACCTCGTACACGGGTATTGTATTAGCTACTAGTTGATACAGTACCTCGTGCACGGGTATTGTATTAGCTACTAGTTGATACAGTACCTCGTACACGGGTATTGTATTAGCTACTAGTTGATACAGTACCTCGTACACGGGTATTGTATTAGCTACTAGTTGATACAGTACCTCGTACACGGGTGTTGTATTAACTACTAGTTGATACAGTACCCCGTACACGAGTATTGTATTAACTACTATTTGATACAGTACCTCGTACACGGGTATTGTATTAACTACAAGTTGATACAGTACCCACTACACGAGTATTGCTATGCAGCCGTGTTCCATATTGACACATTGGTACTGGGATGACCGTACTGTTAACTGTCCCCCCCCCCCCACCAGTCCTGTAGGAGCCCCCTGCTTGGACCTTCTCTGGGAGCCACGTCAAGCAAGGAATAGTGATTGCATCTACACCTCCAGATTTTGTAATCCTCCATTATCGTTTCCAAAATCTGTAAACAACTCAAATATATAATGATGAACTATATGCAAGAGTATTATCATTTTATACACGTCTTCTCTAATAGGCTATTAGTTTGACCTTCAGCCAATTCTTGAGGGCAGTTGTTTCAAGTAATGAAGACAAACTTAGCGGATTGTTTAATATGGGTCTTGACTGAGCTGGCAAGATGCAATAACCTCAGATTCTCTTACAGGCGTTTATAATTGAGGGTCCGGTGTTGTGAAGTGGTCGGCGCCCGAGGAGGGGAAGCTGGCCGATATATATATAGGCCAGTGAAACTATTAATCACAATAGATTTCGAAAGTAGAAGCGTTGGCCGAGATTGCAATTATTGGAGCACTGTTTGGTAATGTTGCTGAAACTTGGACGCTAGGGGAGACTCGGCCCTGCAGAGAGATTAGGGGATGGGGCGGGCAGGCAGGCAGGCAGGCAGCAGGCAGGCAGGCAGGGCAGGCAGGCAGGCAGGCAGCAGGCACGCAGGCAGGCTGGCAGGCATGCAGGCAGGCAGGCAGGCAGGCAGGCAGGCAGGCAGGCAGGCAGGCAGGCAGGCAGGCACGCACGCACGCACGCACGTACGTACGTAGGAAGGTAGAAAAATCAGGCTGACTGGCTTGCTGGAAGAGGCATCGGGACCAACAAATATATCAAAGTTTCTTATGAGATACTATAAGCTAAAGAGCTGTAATACTTCATAAACTTTTAATTATCTGATATGGGATAATGGCTCATATCTTTCAGTATTTGAGGAACCGTCCCTCGTCGAACCTTTGGAAATGGAATCGAGCCATGCTGTTGGTGTTGCATCATGCCACAGTGTGTGGACCGTGCGTGGCCACCTGTATGGTCTCCAGTTTCTTCATTCTGTCAATCCACTTTTTCGTGGCCCCTTTGGCCGGACCTTCAGTGTGGTTCTTGGTGGTTTGGTTTTGTCCCAGGCGAGAGGATCTTATCATTGGATCATAGGGCCAGCCAGATTACCCTTGAGGTCACAATAGAGTAGTCGCCCCCTCCAAGACGACGAGGAACCAGATGAAAAGAACCAACGAGCCTAAATATCACAAATCGGCTAGTTAGACGATATGGAGGAAGCGGTGGCGTCTGAGATACTTTTACCCAAGAGCTTCAACTCACCCGAAAATTCAGAAGCAAGATTAAATCCATCCTACAGGTCGGACGTTTACTGTAGAGAGTTCTGCGTTGTTTCGACCAAGTTCTGCGTTGTTTCGACCAAGTTCTGCGTTGTGTCGTCACACTCCAGTCGACTACGAAACACTCGTTCTCCGCCTGACGATAAAGACGCACTGGTCTTCACAATGTTAAAAGCACAGGTGTTCTGCTTCCAGTGTTAGCGTTGCGGCTTCAATCGAAGACACAGAAAGGTTTTCTGGATTTTATTTCAGTGATCAAGGTTGCCACGATGCCTGTTTCCTCATCAGACACCATGTTTTTGTTGTTGTCATACCGTCGTGTGTCCTGGAAACTAGATGGCCTGTCCACTTAGTCACATGTTGTAGAGGTGGATGTCTATAGCCCCGGGATACACTAGACGACGACGACACGCTTCAAGGTCTCCGGCCACTTGTAGCAACCTTTAGCCTGTCTGTCTGGCTCCGCTGGAGTGTCTGGCTCCGCAGGGGTATCTGGCTCCGCGGGTGTCAGCTGTCACCAAATGATGCATGTATATACAAGAATATATACGACTTGTTTCTTAACTAATTACGCCCTGAAGGAAAAAATCTGCCAAACGTTAGCGGCTGTAGACCTTCATCAGTCATCAGACGAGAGTTGATGACGGGTAGATGAGGGCGGGACAGTTGATGACGGGTAGATGAGGGCGGGACAGTTGATGACGGGTAGATGAGGGGGCGGACATTGATGACGGGTAATGATAGGGCGGGACAGTTTTGATGACGGGTAGATGAGGCTGAACAGTTGATGACGGGTAGATGAGGGCTGGACATGTTTGATGACGGGTAGATGAGGGCGGGACAGTTGATGACGGGTAGATGAGGGCGGGACAGTTGATGACGGGTAGATGAGGGCGGGACAGTTGATGACGGGTAGATGAGGGCGGGACAGTTGATGACGGGTAGATGAGGGCGGGACAGTTGATGACGGGTAGATGAGGGCGGGACAATTGGAGAGGAATATCAAACACTTTTGTACTCAATTATAAAGCTCGACTTAAATTTCCAATGAATATCAGAGAGAGAGAGAGAGAGAGAGAGAGAGAGAGAGTGAGAGAGTGAGAGAGTGAGTGAGTTGACTACGTAGGAAATATAATGTACTTGTATCGTTTCTTGTGTTTTGAAGCATTACTAAGAGTTTGTGTTTGTGTCTCCTGACAGAGGGTAAAGTGGAGGTGAGCAAGGAAGGGAAGCTGCTATGTCACATGTCGCCCGGGAAGGTGTTCGGCGAGCTCGCTATCCTCTACAACTGCAAGAGGACCGCCACCATCAAAGGTTAGTGCCCCTCCGTATTACGCCTTCCTCACCACACATTGGTTTCTGGTTTATCTTACACGTTTTTATTGTCGTGTTGCTCAATCTTTTCTCCCTCCCTCTCTCCCTCCCTCTCTCCCCCCCCTTCCACTCTGCCCCCTCCTCTCTCTTCCCCCCCTCACTCTCTCTTCCCCCACTCTTCCCCCCCCACTCTTTCCCCCACCCACTCTTCCCCCACCTCTTTCCCCTCACTCTTCTCCCCCACTCTTCTTCCCCACTCTTCTCCCCCCACTCAATTCACCCTCCCCACTCTTTTTTCCCTTCCCCACTCTTTCCCTCCCCACTCTCCCCCTCTCCACTCTCCCCTCTCTTTCCCCCCCAATACTCTTCCCCCCACTCCCCCCATTCTACCCCCGCTATCCCCTTTTCCCTCTCTCTCTCTCTCTCTCTCTATCCATCTCTCTCTCTCTCTCTCTCTCCTCCCTCTCTCCTCTCTCTCTCTCTCTCTCTCTCTCTCTCTCTCCCTCCTCTCTCTCTCTCCCTCCCCCCCTCTCTCTCCCTCCCCCTCTCTCTCCCTCCCCTCTCTCTCCCTCCCCCTCTCCTCTCTCCCTCCCCCTCTCCTCCCTCCCCCTCTCTCCATCCCTCCCTCTCTCTCTCCCTCCCCCTCTCTCTCCCTCCCCCTCTCTCTCCCTCCCCCTCTCTCTCCATCCCCCCCTCTCTCTCTCCCCCCTCCCCCTCTCTCTCCCTCCCCCTCTCTCCATCCCTCCCTCTCTACCCCCACTGCTGCTGCTAAGTCCTCTTAATTGTCTTACACTCCCAATTTAACTATACTAGAGTATAATTGATTCCATTGTTGGAAGCACCCCATCATAATTTAACATTTGTTCAATTTGTCTATGTAAATACTTCATAAAATTGTTAATATATCTTCTAGGGTGTTCATTGGGTAACATTGGAATGTTCTTCTCGTGTAGGTGATGTTTTGTGCACTAGAACATGTTGCAATGTTCTCTTACTGTTATCGTAGTTCATCCAGAAGTTCAGGTTGGTCAGGAGTTGTATGATCTTCCCAAATGATGAGTTGCTCATTAACTGTTAGAGTACCCTTCATTTAATTAAACAATGGGTTTTCTCTCCTTTTTATTTGCATTGTTTATGTAATCACCATCCTCACTCACCATCATTGCCACTATCTCCACCACTACCACTGTTATCATCACCCTCCACCATCACCATTTTCTCCCACCACCACCATTATCACCACCCTCTCCACCATCTCCACCTGAAAAGGATTTACTCTTGTGTTCAGATTGGCAACATTAATACAGAGGGAGAATCCTGACCTATGAACATGATAGTGTTCTGTGACAGTTACCCAGTGACGACAGGAAAAAAATAGGGTTATGTAAGCTGTATCTTTAAGTAATTGTTAAACTAAATTGATACAATTTCTGATGAAAGGTTCCAGGGATCTCGTCACAATGCTCATGCTATTCAAATCACTTGTGCTGTTTCGTCTTGAGTACTGCTCAGTACTCACTTCCTTCTTCAGAGGAGGAGAGATTGCTGTAATACAGAGAACATATACGGCACGCATAGACACGATTAAGCACTTCAATTATTGGGACCTTCTCAAAGCTCTCAAAATATGCTCTCCGGAAGGAGACGAAAGAGAGAAAATATAATATATACATGGAAGATACTGGAAGGTCAGATCCTAAATCTACACAGTAAAATAACAACAAACTGGAGCGAAAGATGACAGGTAATGCAGAATAGAACCAGTGAGAAATAGAGATACCATATGCACAGAGAACTCTGAATATCAGAAGTCCACGGTTGTTCAATATCCTCCCAGCAAGTATAAGAAATATTTCCGCAAAAAAGGGGAAGTCTTCAAGAAAAAACTGGACAGTTTTCTACAAGAAGTGCCGGACCAACCGGGCTGTGGTGGGTATGTGGGCTTGCGGGCCGCTCCAAGCAACAGCTCGTTGGACCAAGCTCTCACAAGTCGAGCCTGGTCTCGGGCCGGGCTTGGGGAAGTAGAACAACTCCCAGAACCCTCTCCAGGCAAGATCCAGGTAAGGTTGATCTACAAGACAGAGAAACACAGGAAAAACGCAAAATAATATGTAACAGCCTTAAAATATGTCCCTTGGAGGACGATAAATAAAATATTTAACTTTAAAAAAGAACGCTCAAAAGTTCTGAATAAGAACTTTTTCTTATTCAGAAGACGAAGAATAAAAGTGACTGAAACGGACGCGAATGATCTCACAAAAACAGACGAAGAAATTGCAGAAAAATCCAAGAAAAAACTAAAACACTTATTTCAGAACGGAAAAATTCAATATCTTTACATGTACCAAGAATAAGTACCTCTAAGTTTAGGAGTCTTACATGAAGACGGACGTACACCAGAGACGAGTTATGACCGAAACCTGAGAGAAGAATACGGATCTATGGCAATGCAGTGGACACAATGAAAGTTGATGGCTGACAGCTTTATGAATTCTGTCCACACAGAAAGACAGATGTCAAATATTACAATCAACCCCGCAGTCTTCAAAGATGAAACACAGTATGCCAGTATGCCCGACAGTATATTTATAATATATCGGCACTCGGCTCCAGGGCCAGATTACAAGCATTTATTGGTTATACAAGAATTACAGAATCCCCTTAGCACGGACACTCTGAATAAATATGGAGAAACATCTTAGAGGCAGGTGACATCCTGCACACGCCAACAACAAAGGAGGTAGTAAAGCACTGGCAAAACTACAGACCTGTCACACTGGCATTACACAGTGTTAACATTTTTGAGGCGGTTTCAGGAGGTCAACTTTACAGTTAAATGAAAAAGAATGAGTTATACAATCCAGGTTAACACGGTTTTAGAGTAGGAAGATCTTGTCTTGTAGACGACAATCTTATCTTCCAACGACAAGGAAGAAAATGCAGAATAGAACCAGTGAAGAGCAGGGGTGCCATAGGCACAATCAGAGAACACTGTATAAACATCAGAGGTCCTCGGTTGTTCAACGTCCTCCCAGCGAGCATAAGAAATATTGCCGGAACAACCGTGGACATCTTCAAGAGAAAACTAGATAATTTTCTTCAAGGAATGCCGGACCAACCGGGCTGTGGTGGATATGTGGGCCTGCGGGGCGCTGCAAGCAACAGCCTGGTGGACCAAACTCTCACACGTCAAGCCTGGCCTCGGGCCGGGCTTCGAGTAGAGCAACTCCCAGAACCCCATCAACCAGGTATCAACCAGGTATCAACAACTACTTGATCACAATTACAAAGGCATTAGAAGCAAACTAAAATGTAGACGGGTACAAATTTTGCCAAAGCATTTTATATGACCGTTGAATAATAGTCCATAAATTGGAAATTAAATCAATAACAGATAAAGTAGGGAGGAGAATTTTACATTTTTTAACAAACTGATTACAAAAGAATGCCAATGACTCAAAATCCAGGCTGAATACTTTATAAAATTGGTTGTATAAGGTACAGTCGTCGCACCGTACCTTATCTCTTCCTCATCCGACCGGGAGGGAGGGAGGGAGCTGGTCGGCCGAGCGGACAGCACGCTGGACTTGTGATCCTGTGGTCCTGGGTTCGATCCCAGGCGCCGGCGAGAAACAATGGGCAGAGTTTCTTTCACCCTATGCCCCTGTTACTTAGCAGTAAAATAGGTACCTGGGTGTTAGTCAGCTGTCACGGGCTGCTTCCTGGGGGTGGAGGCCTGGTCGAGGACCGGGCCGCGGGGACACTAAAGCCCTGAAATCATCTCAAGATAACCTCAAGATAACCATCCTCGTAGTAGATATAGATACTAATACAAATACCAGTTCCGTGCTGTCCTCCGCTGACGACCCGAAAATAAGTATAAAAATTGCCTCATGAGAAAATGCCCCCCCCAAAATATCAGTCGGATATTAATAAGGTCTTAAATTTCATAATTATGACTTTAATGGTTACAAATTCCAATTCGGTGCAGGAAAATAGAGGACCTTAAAGGCGTACAAAATTCAAGACAGTACAATATTGTCATTGAAAGTAATGACCTGGATTAAGACCTTGGAATAATAATAATATCAGAAGATTTATCGTGAACATACCACAATAAAGCAACCACAGCAAGAGGCAGGTAAACGATAGGGTGGATAGCGAGAGCCTTCAAGACGAGGCACGTCACATCAGTGATGGCACTCTTCAAAACACTGGTGTCATCTCGCATGGAATAGTATTCAATCCTCGTGTCCCCCCCCCCCCCCTGTGAAGGCAGCCATGATTGCATAGCTGGAAAATGTATAGAACTCATTTACTGCGCGCGCACCCCCCCCCCCCCCTCACACACACACACACACACACACACACACACACACACACACACACACACACACACACACACACACACACACACACACACACATTGAAGTTCTTAAACTGCTGAGACCGACACGAGCCACTCAAAGTGCACTCCTTGGGAAAGGAGACGAGAGATAAGTCTCACAACATACACATGGAAAATCCTGGCAGGACAGCACTCAACGCGGCACGATACAATTGCCCCGCACTGAAGCGAGACCTATGATAGGAAGGCTACAATAATTCAATCAAATGTCGAGGCGCCATAATCACAAACAAGAACACACTGTAAACATCAGAGTGTACGAATTTTCAATCTCTTGGAAACACTTATATATATATAAGAAATGTTGCTGGAACAACAGCGGAAAATTTCAAGAGGGAACTGAATAAGTTTCTAGTGAACTTACCGGATCAGCCTGACTGTGATGTCTATGTATGAAGACAAACAGCGTCACAGACCAGACAAAGACCAGGAAAGTCTAGCCACAGGCCAGACTGTGACACGAGAACATTTCTCGAAGTCATAAACAGGTAAACAGTATTTTAAGGGTAAATGAGTGACAATGAGAGGGGCAGCGACCAGCAGAGGGCTGAGAGTAGTGGGGTCCACCAAGGCTCGGTGATGGAATCATTGCTGTTTCTAATATACGTCAGTAACCCGAAGGAATGAGTTCCTATCTGTTCGTGTTTGAAGATATCGCAAAAGTGATGAGGAATGTAAAAACCGAAGAGGAATGCAGAGAATTGGAGCATGACGTTGACAAACTCCAGGAGGGGTAGACAGTGGCTGTTAGAGTTCAACCCCACCAAATGTAAAGTAATGAACGTGGGAAAGAAAGAAATGAGACTAGAAGAAATCTATACTCTAATTTTAAGGTAGCTACAGGAATCGGACAAGATAAAATAAAATACAGTGGATGTAATACAATGGATGTAATAACTGGTATCAGTAAAACCAGCACTTGAATACACACAATACCAGTGTGAAATCCGTACCTCGTGAAAGATAGAACTTGAAAAAGTGCAGAGTTGCAACAACATTAGTGCCTGAATTAAGAGGACTGAGAAACTGGACACGTTAATTGAACTTAATATCACAACCGTAGAGATAGGAAACAAAGGGGATATGATCACTGTATAAAAGATACTAAGGGAAATATATAAGGTGCACAAGGACAGCCTCATTAAATGGAGAAAACTTGGACATATGCATGAAATTATAGCTGGCAACTCCAATGAGTTGAAGGAATGTAAGGAAGTACTCTTACCCTGTAAGGATGGTCAACACATTCAACCATTGCAGGAGGCTGGGAGATTTGCTGTCCAGTTTGCAGAAAGAGAAGCTTCATATCGGCTTCCTGCAATGGTCAATTAAAACAAGAGAGGTTGACAGCCATTCGTGAGAGCATAGCTACAGGGCAGTACACTGAAAGAAGTTGTGGAAGCCAACTCCATCTAGAATTTTAAGGCCAGGTTCGTCCAAGAACACGACCGGCAGGATTGTTTCATTATAACCCAACAGGTATAACAAGGCGAGCAGGCGGGACATACCTAACAGTGCTGGTCATTTAGACCAGCACTGTTAGGTAACACCACAACTCATCGTCACCACTGTAACCTGCACCTTCACCACCACCCTCACCTTCATCACCACCCTCACTACCACTTTCACCACCACCACCCTCACCCCTCATCTTCACCACCACCCCCACCCCCACCTTCACCCCCGCCTTCACCCCACCCTCACCTTCACCACCACCCTCACCTTCACCACCACCCTCACCTTCACCACCACCCTCACCTTCACCACCACCCTCACCTTCACCACCACCCTCACCTTCACCACCACCCTCACCTTCACCACCACCCTCACCTTCACCACCACCCTCACCTTCACCACCACCCTCACCTTCACCACCACCCTCACCTTCACCACCACCCTCACCTTCACCACCACCCTCACCTTCACCACCACCCTCACCACCATCTTCACCTCCACCTTCACCTCCACCTTCACCCCCACCATCACCCCCACCATCACCCCCACCATCACCCCCACCATCACCCCCACCATCACACCCACCATCACCACCACCACCACCACCATCACCACCACCATCACCACCACCACCACCACCACCACCACCACCACCACCACCACCACAGTAACACCGGACTGTACTCCTCCACAGCGGCCACGGGATGCAAACTGTACGCCATCGACCGCAAGTGCTTCCAGACCATCATGATGCGGACTGGACTCATCCGCCAGGCTGAGTACACCAACTTCCTCAAAAGGTATGTTACTCCCCTCCCTCAGATAGCTCTATACCTGCCTCAGGTGACTCTATACCTGCCTCAGGTGGCTCTATGCCTTCCTCAGGTGTGACTATATCTGCCTCGGGTGGCTCTATACATCTTCCTTAGGTGGTGTAAGTAATTATGCCTTGAGTGGGTATTTCAGTACATCCCATTTCTCTTGTCTAAGACAACGCTTTCGCACAGATTTAAGAACATAAGAAAATAAGCATAAAGGTAAATGCAGAAGGCCTATTGGCCCATACGAGGCAGCTCCTATTTATAACCACCCAATCCCACTCATATACATGTCCAACTCACGTGTGAAACAATCGAGGAACCCCACCTCCACTACATTACGCGGTAATTGGTTCCACAAATCAACAACCTTGTTACTGAATGAGTATTTACCCAAGTCTTTCCTAAATCTAAACTTGTCTAATTTATACCCATTGTTTCGTGTCCTGACTTGTGTTGCTACCTTTAATACCCTATTAATATCCCCCCTCTGTTATATCCATTCATCCACTTGTAAACCTCTATCATTTCACCCCTAACTCATCGCCTTTCCAGTGAATGCAATTTAAGCTTTGCCAATCTTTCTTCATATGATAGGTTTCTAATTTGGGGAATTAACTTTGTCATCCTACGCTGGACAAGTTCAAGTGAATTTATATCCATTCTATAGTACGGCGACCAAAACTGAACTGCATAATCTAAATGGGGCCTAACCAGAGCAAGATTTAGCTGAAGAACAACACTAGGTGTCTTGTTACTAACGCTTCGATTAATAAATCCCAGTGTCCTATTTGCCTTATTACGAACATTTATGAATTTATTTTTTGGTTTTAAATTCTTACTAATCATAACTCCCAGATCCTTTTCGCAATCCGACTTCGCAATCTCAACACCATTTAGCTTGTATCTAGTAACTCTATCATCATTACCTAGTCTCAAAATCTTACATTTGTCAGCATTAAACTGCATCTGGAAATCTTTTGACCACTTGAAAACCCTGTTTAGATCGTTTTAAAGTAATAGCGAGTCTTTTTCCATGTTTATTTCTCTCCCGATTTTTGTATCATCTGCAAATTTGAAAATATTGCTGCTCAAACCTGAATCTAAATCATATATATTATAAATAACAGAGGTCCCAGGATAGAGCCTTGAGGCACTCTACTTACAACATTTTCCCACTCTGACTTCACTCCATTTATATTAACATTCTGTTTCCTTTGGTATAGCCATGCCCTAATCCTACTTAATGTAGCACCTCCAATACCATGAGCCTCTATTTTTTAATCAGTCTTTCATGTGGCACTGTATCAGAAGCTTTGCAAAAGTCAAAGTAGACAACATCACAATCCTTACCACAATCAACTGCCTCATCTATGCTGGAGTAAAATGATAGTAAATTTGGTAAACATGAACGGCCATTTGTAAAACCATGTTGTGAATCGTATAGTAATTTATATTTTTCAAGATGAAGACGAATGGTATTTGCAATTATCGATTCAAGTATCTTTCCCACAATAGACGTTAGGCTAATTGGCTGATAGTTTGACACAAGTGATCTACCTCCTTTCTTGAAAATTGGTACCACATTAGCAACCTTCCACGATACCGGCAATCTGCCTGACTCTTATGATTTATTAAATATGGTAGACAGTGGATCGCAAAGCTCCTCTTTACATTCTTTAAGCACCCTGGCAAACACTTCATCCGGTCCGGGGCTTGTCAGGTTCTGTTTAAAGTAGCTAGTGTTTGCGCGCTCTCGCTTGTTGGTAGTATATAGACACGTCTGGCTTAGTGCCTGGTGAACACCTTCACGGTCTGGGTGCACGTGAGTGGAATAAGCACGGTTCGTGAGGCTCTAGTCGTGTAAACACACACACACACACACACACACACACACACACACACACACACACACACACACACACACACACACACACACACACACACACACACACACGCGCGCGCGCGCACGGGAGGGGGGGGGGGTGTTCGCGGCTGAGTGGACAGCGCTCGACGGTCGTAGTCCTTAGCGACCGGGTTCTGCCCCGGCCGAGGCGGAAACAAATGGGCAGTTTTCCTTCACCTGAACTTCTGGGAGTAGAAGAACTCGCAGAACCCCATCAAGCAGGTATCGCCCTCCCTGTTCACCTAGCAGTAAATAGCTTCCCCGCAGTTAGACGGCTGCTACGGACTGTTTCCTGGGATGTGCGCGCCCGCGTGTTAGAGCAAAATACATATAGTAGACAGAGAACAAAATAGATCGGCTAGAAAGGTGGGGGTCCAGTAGCAAATAGCTCGATTCTGGAGGCACAAATAGTAAATAAAATAATAAATACACATATACACGTGAGATGAATACTTAGAAAATGTGACCAGAGAGAAATGAGTCACTGCATTGATGTAAGAACGTTTGGAAGCCGGGGCTCGGAGCTTAGCTCGACCCTGCATGCACAACTAGGCGAGTACACACACACCCTCTGCTTCACACGCCTCTGTGTTCATGATGCACAAACAGCTCTCCTCTTATTTATTACCGCGGATTTTGCCCTTGGAAATTGTTATCAGTTGCGTGTCAGTACGTGTTCCTAAATCCACTCTGGTTAAGTAAACAAGTATTCAGTGTTAACAGTGTGTTAGTTAAACGTGGCGAGCAGATACCCTAGAGTGTTACTGCAGTACGACCCGATAAAGCTATGATTTGTTCAGATCTGAAACCTACATCTATGGACAGCACAAAACGTCCACTAGACTGTGCGACACAGTGGTTGCAAGGATCAGGTTGGGTTACCGTTACCTGTGGCAGGTGGCTGCAGGTGACGGGTCTCCCAATCCTGAGCACTCCAGTTGTAAACTCTGTGAGCAGGAACTACGGCATGATCTCCCGCACTACATCACTGAATGCCCAGTTATTAGACCTTTCAGACCAGTTGGCATGAGGTACCTGGAGCTTTGCAATTACTTTATTCACTCTCGTATTCTTGAAGATATCCTCACAGTATACCCAAAATTTGCCAGTGCAGGCTATTAAACACATGGCCCTGTATGACTAACCATCCTGCGAGATGGGGACTTGTATTACCACTGCTACCTTATTCAATCTTGTGTTGTTGATATCCTCAAAATGCATCCGGAGTCTGCCAGTGCAGACCGCCTATCACATGTCTCTGTATGACTAACCATCCTGTGTGATGGGGATTTTATAGCATCACCTAGTTAGCTTTTTTTTGACACACTGTACTCCACTTCATATAGTCTAGGGTAGCTGCACTAATGCAGATGTACCTCATAACTTAATAAAAAAAAAAAAAAAAAATAAATAAAACTAGTCGCTGGAAGAGCATAGGATGCACAGTAACTAAACTAGTCGCTACCACATTAGCAATGTTACCATGTGTACGGAGACAATGCAGTTACTGCCGTAGGAAATCGTAGCATAATTTGCAGTCATTAGCTCCAGAAAGAAAAGGAAACTGGAACAATGACCAGACTATCCCAAGTGAGACGGACGGGACCACAACCACATGGGCCATTTTTTTTTTTGGGGGGGGGGGGGAGTAAAGAGGATGGAGAGGCATAGGTGAAGGGAAGTATAGAAGTGGGAAATACAGTGAAATACAGTGAAAGCAGGCGGGCTGTCCGCCTTGCTGACAATCCTCAAAATGCATCCGGAGTCTGCCAGTGCAGACCGCTTATCACATGCCTCTGTATGACTAACCATCCTGTGTGATGGGGATTTTTTAGCATCACCTAGTTAGCTTTTTTGACACACTGTACTCCACTTCATATAGTCTAGGGTAGCTGCACTAATGCAGATGTACCTAATATGTTAAAAAAAAAATAAAAAAAATAATACCGAGCCCTTCTATGTATGCCGAACCTCTTTAAGATTGGCGTTTTTACTACCATATAACAAACTTCAGATAGAAACTGGGGTAACCCTTCATATAGTCTAGGGTAGCTGCCTAAATGCCCAGGCTTATCTAGCTCCTGACAAACTGGGTAACCCTTCATATAGTCTAGGGTAGCTGCCTAAATGCCCAGGCATATCTAGCTCCTGACAAACTGGGTAACCCTTCATATAGTCTAGGGTAGCTGCGGAAGTCACCGTGTACCTTAGTATGTAAATTACAAAGTCTAGGTGGCCTCCAGTATGTGCGGATATAAGTATAGTGTGATAATATACACGCAAATGAAAAACACCCGTAAATGAACAAATCCATAAGGGCCGTGACGAGGGTTCGAACCTACGTCCGAGAGCATCCCAAACGCTGCCTTTAAACACCCGTTGTTAAGCTTGGGATGAATGTTGGTTCAGATAATTGTTTTGATATCATCAGTATTTTCGCGACAGTGAAATAGTTGATGGACCGTGTTGTGAGGGTCAAGACGAAACACACACTAACTGTGCTACAGTGACAATCCTATATCAGCTGTGCTACAGTGACAATCCTATATCAGCTGTGCTACAGTGACAATCCTATATCAGCTGTGGTACAGTGACAATCCTGTATCAGCTGTGCTACAGTGACAATCCTGTATCAGCTGTGGTACAGTGACAATCCTATATCAGCTGTGGTACAGTGACAATCCTGTATCAGCTATGCTACAGTGACAATCCTGTATCAGCTGTGCTACAGTGACAATCCTGTATCAGCTGTGCTACAGTGACAATCCTGTATCAGCTGTGCTACAGTGACAATCCTGTATCAGCTGTGCTACAGTGACAATCCTGTATCAACTGTGCTACAGTGACAATCCTGTATCAACTGTGCTACAATGACAATTCTACGTCAATTCGTCAATTATACTATGTACGGTGGTAGTCCCATATCAGTTGTACTACGATAACAGTTCCCATATAAATTTTACTACGGTGACAAGCATATATAACAAACATCTGCCAACCATACAGTGGGTGACTATAAGCCAACATACAGTGGTGACAACCATATATACACCAACCATACTGTGGTGACAACCAT